TTCCTCGTTTAGCTTGGAGAAGTTTGATCGTCTGAAGCCTTGTTCTCTCAACTCATCAAAGTCATTCTCCATCCAGCTTTGTTGTGTTGCTGGTGAGGAGTTGCGTTCCTTTGGAGGGGGAGAGGCGCTCTGATTTTTAGAATTTTCAGCTTTCCTGCACTGCTTTTTCCCCATATTTGTGATTTTATATACCTTTGGTGTTTGATGATGGTGATGTACAGATGGGGTTTTGGTGTGGATGTCCTTTCTATTTGTTAGTTTTCCTTGTAACATTCAAGACCCTCAGCTGCAGGTTTGTTGGAGTTTGCTTGAGGTCCACTCTAGGCCCTGTTTGCCTGGGTATCGGCAGCACAGGCTGCAGAAGAGTGAATATTGCTGAACAGCAAATGTTGCTGTCTGATCGTTCCTCTGGAAGCTTCGTCTCAAAGGTGTACCCGGCCCTGTGAGGTGTGAGGTGTCAGTCTGCCCCTAGTGGGGGATATCTCCCAGTTAGGCTACTCGGGGGTCAGGGACCCACTTGAGCAGGCAGTCTGTCTGTTCTCAGATCTCAAACTCCGTGCTGGGGGAACCACTACTCTCTTCAAAGCTGTCAGATGGGACATTTACATCTGTAGAGGTTTCTGCTGCTTTTTGTTTGGCTATGCCCTGTCCTCAGAGGTGGGGTCTACAGAGGCAGGCAGGCCTCCTTGAGCTGCAGTGGGCTCCACCCAGTTCGAGCTTCCCAGCTGCTTTGTTTACCTACTTAAGCCTCAGCAATGGTGGGCACCCCTCCCCCAGCCTCGCTGCTGCGTTTCAGTTAGATCTCAGACTGCTGCACTAGCAATGAGGGAGGCTTTGTGGGTGTGGGACCCTCTGAGCCAGGCGTGGGATATAATCTCCTCTTGTGCCATTTGCTAAGACCCTTGGTAAAGCGCAGTATTAGGGTGGGAGTGACCTGATTTTCCAGGTGGTGTGTGTCAAGGTTTCCCTTGTCTAGGAAAGGGAATTCCCTTCCCCCTTGTGCTTCCTGGGTGAGGTGATGCCTCGGCTTCGGCTCTCGCTCGTTGGGCTGCACCCACTGTCCTGCACCCACTGTCCAACACACCCCAGTGAGATGAACCCAGTACCTTAGTTGGAAATGCAGAAATCACCCATCTTCTGTGTCGCTCATGCTGGGAGCTGGAGGCTGGAGCTGTTCCTGTTTGGTCATCTTGGTGCCCTAAAGGGAACTATCGCTTTTTATTTTTAACTTTTACATGGATGTCCTGGAAATTTGTATATATAAAATCTTTATATAAAATACACGAAATCTGTTCTCTTTTTTTTGAGTCTTTTTTTTTTGAAACTAAGCTTTCCACTCTTCCCATAATATGATATTGTTTTTCAGATTTTCCAAATAAAACTGCGGTGAATATTTTAAAATAGTTTTTTTTCCCCTCTTTTGAGTCATTTTGTTGGGTCAAGTCCCCAGATGGGAATTGTTGGGTCAAAGATTATCAGCATTTTTGAGGCTCTTGATGTGCATTGGCAAAATGTTTTGCAAAGGACTTGTTTTCAGCAATCCTCATTTACATTGTTTCAGCAACATACATGAGATTCTTTTTATTTTTTGCTGCAAACCCACTAATACTGAATATTATAAGAAAAAGGTTTCTGAGCTCATTTACAACAGATAAATGATTTCTTCTGTACTTTTTTTTAAATCGCTTTCACTTTTAATTCAACTTCCAGGGATAAAATTTTTAAAAAATCTGAAATAATTTCAAACTAATAGAAACATTTCAAATATAGTACAAAACCCCTATTTTTATCCTTATCCAGGTTTTCCCAATATTAACAAAATCTACTCCCCTTACTGTACATATCCATTATCACTAATCTTTTGAAAACCTTTTGAGAAGTTGCAGGTATGGCACCCTATTACCTCTAACTACTCCGTTGTATTTCTCAGAACAAGAACATTCCTGTGTAAGCACCATCAACCCTCCAACTCTGGAAGTTAGCATCAATAACAATACTGCCATTCAGATCATGGACCCCAGTCAAATTTTACCAACTGCAATCATCTAGAAAAATGTGCTGTAAGGCTGGGCATGGTGGCTCATGCATATAATTCCAGCACTTTGGGAGACCAAGGTGGGTGGATTGCCTGAGGTCAGGAGTTCCAGACCAGCCTGGTGAACATAGTGAAACCCCATCACTACTGAAAATACAAAAGAGTTATTAGCCAGGCATGGTGGCAGGCACTTGTAATCCCAGCAGGAGAGTGCCTTGAACCCAGCAGGCAAAGGTTGAAGTGAGCTGAGATCGTGCCATTGCACTCCAGCCTGGGCAACAAGAGTGAAATTCTGTCACAAACAAACAATCAACAACAACAATAAAAGTGCTGTAATAATCTATCTTATCTTTTTTGGTCTTCTCCAGTTTGGAATATTTTCTCAGTCTTTCCTTATCTTTTGGGTCCTTGGCAGTATAAAATCTGTTTTGAATTAAGTTTTTCAACATTTACTGGATTAAGTGCTTTGTAATAATTATTGACATTTACTTCCTATTTCCTCTGAAGAGATATTTTTGATATAGGTTAGAGTGCACATTAAGAGGCAGGAAGAAGGCACAATACTAAATTTCTCTCATCAATTTGTGATTCTTCCCTCTACTTCTATATAGAGATCACTCCAGGGAGAGCTTCCCACTCACCTTCTCTATATCCTCTGTATTTACTCCCAACTCTCCACTCAGTTCTAAAGCCCATAGTCTTGTGAACTGTGATGAAGGTTACAGGAGAATCGTTTTTGGAGATAAAATTGCTTTAGTTCTCTTTAGTCTTCCACTCCCTGACCTTAGAATGACCATGGAGTAACTCCAATAGTATCATGTAGATTCCCTGAATATTGTATAGTATAGATGTGTCATCTTTGTTCTTAATAGGTATAATAAAAACATACTCCTCTTTTCTTTTATAAAATAACACAACTCAAGAAGGATAGACAATAGGTTCTGAAAGTTGCTGATGATCCAGATGGAAAATTCATAAATACTATATTTTAAAATACAGTACATATAAAGAATGTTTAGTATCACTTACACCTCTATCTATTTCAAAATTAGGGTATTATTTTTTACTTTAGGTTCATCAACAATAGTTACTATTTTATTAAAATATGACTATCAGTTTGAAAAAGGTTTTATTTAAGGATTTTAAATTTTGTTTCTTACAGGCTTTGACACTGGTTTATCAGGAATTATTTTACAAATTAAACACACAAAGTATTCACTTTTAAGAAGAAATACAAACATTTTTCTTAAAAAAAGCCTTTCTTAGAAGTAATCTGTAGACTGTGGAATGTAGTATAATATGAATTCTATACAATTAAAGCTTTGGCAACTCTATCACTAATGATATCACTGTAGCATAAACTCTGTTACAAATTGTCTTTATATGCTACTTTCAAATGAGATAAATTCAGGATTAATTGGTAAAAAAGTCTAAATTATTGGTTAAATGAAATGAAGTTTTAATAATTTTAAGCTCATATTATAAAACATGCCACTACTAAGTAGGCAGGTATTTCTAAGATTCTCTCCTACAGGATCATAATGATAACTTATTTTAAGTTGGTATCAAATCCTTAGAGGGCTATTATCCTTAGGTGCTATTTTTAGTTATTCAAAGAAGACAAAGTATAATTTTTTTCCAGCATATTTTTTTCTATAGTTACTTTCACTGTATAAAGTTATTGTGTAACTTTTATCTTAGGTGTAACAGTTTCATACGAAATCCTCATCTATTTCTTAATGATATTTTGAGGCTTATTACGTTATAGCAATTCATAGCTTACTGGGACAAGAAATTTTAAAAGCTTTGCACATTTTGTCTTTTTATTGTTTCCCTGTTCAATTCATTAAGAACATGAATAGTATTACATGATATAAACTATGATTTGATATAATGCCATTTATCAACTATAGTAAATTTTTAAAACAGATGGCTCACTTAGTGCTCCCAAATAAATGAAAATTAATATAATAAAATACGAGTAATTGAAGAACAAAAGTGGATAACAAGTACATGGACAGTGTTCATTACTGGTATTTCCTTAGTGAATGTGGTTTATAAAATTCTGATATGCCCCATCAAACTTAAACTTGTTAGAGCACTGAAACATGGGCAAGTAAACCGAATGTTCCTAAGTATACTTCTTAGCAGAAAGCAATCTAAAGTAGCAGCATTTTTATTAAACTACAAAAATATTTTGATATTTATGATTTATTGTACAATTTATAAAGAACAATTTAGGGTACAGTTCTATTGTAGTGTGATAATTAATGATACTGTAAGTAGGAGACCATCTTTTTCAGACTTGTAGTCCACTGGAGAACTGGAAATTTAAATTGGCAGCTTATAACAAGATTTTAAATTATATTTTATTAAACTGAAAGTAATAGGTGGGATGAAAACAAAATATCATATAAAGAGGTTATTAATAAAACATTTTTCAGTTATATATACAATATGTATATGCATACATAAACATATACTCACTGTATACATATGTATATATATTACATGTGTATATGTATATTAATGCAGTATATATAAGTGTGTACACAGAAACAAATTTATACATAAAATATATAGGTCTGAGTACAGGATCAGGGTCATTTTTTTATTTACTATGAGTCTTGGTCATCAAAGTTTGAAAGACACCGAAAAAGAAATTAATTTTATTCTTGTTTTAGGATATATGAAAGGGATGTTAGTTAATCTAACTATGTGAAGTTCATTTATCTCTTAAAAAGAAGTTGAAGGCTATAAAAATATATCTAGTCTGAGAAATAACGGGTTGATTAACAATAACCTAAATGACGCTGAAGGATAAAGCAGAACAAAGTATTTCTGACTCATGACATGGAGAACATTAAATACTAGCAAAAAAAAAAAAAAAAAAAAGGGAATTCTCAAACACAAGGAGTCACCTCACATCCAGAAGTATTTTTGTGGAAGAAGCAATGGTACTAACCATATTCTATTGCAGCTTTGAGCAATGCCTCAGCATGAGTGGAGCCAAATGCATTGCGAACAAATCGTCTCCTTCGACGAAGATCATCTTCCCAGTAATCCAAACGCCAGAAATCATGCAATTGGCTAAGAGTAGAGGGAAAAAAAGTAATCCCTATTAATAACAATGCATAACTGGAAATACATTTTTCTATAAAATTGAAGTTATTTTCTTGGTCTCATTGAAAAATTAAGATAATGTGTATATATATATAAATATATATATACACATACACAAATACAAGTGTGAAATATACATATATATATATTCCCTCTACAACTGAAAAAGACTTAAAATAATAACATTCTCATATTTCAGGCATCATACCACTCAGCTCTGCTTTTTATTTTTTAAAATTTTCTTATTTCTACTAAAAGCATTAATCGTGGAGTTTAGTAACAAATGCAACATCAAATTACAAGTATTAATGGTACAGTTTGCTTTCTTTTACACTGTTTTTAACAAGGGTTGTAAATCACGGAATACATCTCACTACAAATAGTTTACAATTTAATGACCATGGTTTCTTAGTAGGCTGAATTAAGAAGTACAAAATACTGCCCACTTGGATTTGGTGGAAAAATGATTAAAATAATGTACTGAAATATTCATTGAAATAATTCCCCGCTGCCCAGAGCAACCTGAGAAAAATGCAATTTTATCCATTATTAATAATACTGAATTAGAGCTGCAAAAATTTCCAGTATGCGGTAATTGTCTTGGCAAATTATTATTCTAATGCTAACAGAGTTCTTGGATGATTTTACAGCTTTCAACTAATATAAACCATTAATAGCCATGGCCAACATTGGCCATCACTGTCTTTTATACTCCAAACCAATACTAAAAATCCAAGAGATAGTTCAGAAATGATATAAATAGGACCATTATATAGCCAATGAAATATTTTGGGATAATGATATAATTTTTGTTTTTAATTTAATTTCAGTAAACATTAGTAATAAATACCACTGCTTAAGAAGTCAATTTTTATAATATTCTAATTTTCCAGAGCAGCAGTATTCATAAAAACATATAAAATACTTTCCTAGAAGATTTCACTTCATTAATTATTTTGTTATTTCACTGTAGAAGAACACTTTAAGTCTGATTAAGGCAGGACCTACGTATGTTTTGCTCATCATTATATTTCTAGCCCAATGTCTGGCACACAGCATGTTTTTACTAAATATTCATTGAATTAATGAAAACTTTTTTAATTTCAAAAAAAACTACGGATTTTTTCAATGTCGGCCATTGAGAAAAATAATTTCATTTTGAAAAGCATTTTAGATTTTATGTATATAATTTTTTATCTACAATTTCATTATAAAAACCTGATAGTATAAAGGGCATATAAAAAGAACTAAAATTGTAAGTCTTTGAAGTATACTTCAATGCACTTATTTTTCCTGTACATCATAATTATAACTTAATTCTTCTGTTAAATAATGATTACTTGATGAATAATAGTAATAAATAGTATATCTCTCTAATTTAAAATAGGATGATTTCTATCCTTACAAATACAAACTAATCCCAGTAATTTAAGGAAGACCATGCTAAAATCAGGCTATACTGATTTTCAGTAAGATTATTTTAAAATTAAGTAACTGAATTCACCAAAAGCGGTCAGAGATCTAATGTTATCTAAAATTTCTAACCCTAGACATACTGTTCCCTATTCTTCTGTAAGGGCAGCTGAACAGTTCTGGAAAGGATATATAAAACAAACATAAGAAGACTCTGAAGACCTGAACCATACAAATTCTAGAAGATAACACTGGAAAAACCCTTCTAGACATCGGCTTAGGCAAAGACTTCGTGACCAAGAACCCGGAAGCAAATGTAACAAAAAAAGGATAAATAGATGGGACTTAATTAAACTACAAAGCTTCCTTTTGCACAGTAAAAGAAATAATCAGTAGAGTAAACAGACAGTGGGAGAAAATTTTCATGATCTATACATTGGGAAAAAGGAATCCAAACAAATCAGCAAGAACAAAACAAACAATCCCATTGAAAAGTGGGCTAAGGACATGAATAGGTAATTCTCAAAATAAGATATACAAATGGCCAACAAACCTACGAAAGAATGCTCAATATCATTAATTTTCAGGGAAATGCAAATCAAAACCACAATGCAATACCACTTCGCTCGTCCAAGAATGAACATAATCAAAAAAATAAAAATAAATAGATGTTGTTGTGGATGTGGTGAGAATGTAAACATTTTACGCTGTTGGTAGGAATGTAAACTGGTATGACCACAATGAAAAAGAGTGTGGAGATTCCTTTAAGAACGAAAAGTAGATCTACCATCTGATCCGGCAATCCCACTCCAGGGAATCTACTCAGAGGAAAAGAAGTCATTATACAAAAAAGATACTTGCACACAAATGTTTATAGCAGCACAATTTGCAATTGCAAAAATATGAAACCAGCCCAAATGCCCATCAGTCAATGAGTGGATAAAGAAAATGTTATATATATATGTATATATACACACACATATATACATATATATGTACACACACACACACATACTTTGGGGACTCAAGGGAAAGGGTGGGAGGTGGCTGAGAAATAAAAGACTACACATTGGGTATAGGGTACGCTGCTCAGGTGATGGGTGCACCAAAATCTCAGAAATCACCACTTATAGAACTTATTCACATAACCAAATACTGCCTGTTCCCCAGAAACCTATGAAAATAAATTTTAAAAAAGAGAAGACTCTGAAAGGTGAGAGAAAGTAGACTGACTAAGGACCTCAGGACCTAAGGAACAACATATTGATGAGTTCTTTTTGCTTCATATATGCCACACTTGGAGGCCAACAGCCCAGATAGACAAATGAGTGCAGACAAAAAAAAAAAAAAAAAAAAAAAAAAAAAAAAGCCAAGCAAAACCCTGCTCCCTCTAGTCAAAGGACAAGAAAACAGCAGATTAGCAAGATGGAAAACTTTTAGACAATTGCTATACTCCAGCCAAACATCACAGAAAAACTGCATCCCCACCTGACCTACACCAGCAAAGGATGGCTGTGAAGCTCAGACATGTACCCTCATGAAGGTGTAATGAGATACCCAACACCCTTGCTGGGTGTTATCAGAGACCACCAAGTAGGCAGCCAGGACTTCATCTCTGCTGGCTGGTAACAAGGTGCCCTACTCACATGGAGTCAGTGGAGACCATGTGGAGAGGTTGGATTTCCACCTCCCATTGGACAGTAATGGGGCATCCCTCCCCCTCCCCACTAGGGTAGTGTCAGAGGAAGCCTACTGCAGAGTCAGGACTTCCACTGCTGACAAACAACAATGAGGCCAGCCCACCATTGGACATCACATGGGGACCGGGAACTCCCACCCCCATCAAGCAGTATAAGAAGAGCCCCTGACTCACTGGGTTTCAATGGACGCCAAGTGAAGAACTTAGATTTCTACTACCATGTAGCAGATATAAGACAGTGTCCCCTCTTCCAGATGAAACATGTTATAGAAAGTCTAAATAGAAGGTTTAAATAAAATAAATTAACTCAGAAAAAAATAAGAAAAGGTCCAGGTTTCAATCTAAAATCACTTGTCATACCAAGAACCTGGAAAATCTCCAAGGGTATGTAAAAAGATCACCCCAAAATGCCAACATTGAAATGGTGAAGAATTTAAAGCAGCCATGATTGACAATATGCTTCAATATGCAATTATGAAAATATTTGAAATGAATGAAAAAAATACCCTTAGCAAAGAAATAGAAACTCTCAGAAAAGAAACCGAAGATGTAAAGAAGAACCAAATGGAAGTGGAAGTTTTTGAACTGACATTATATAATAACCAAAATAAAAGCTCAGTAGATGTGCTCAACAGCAGAATGGAAGGGACAGAGGGAGGAATCACTTAATTGGAAGACAGGATAATAGAAATTATGCAATCTGAATAACAGATGGAAATAGATGAAAAAGTGAACAGAGCCTTAAGGATCTGTGGAGCACAACATTTAGCATTTGTGTCACTGGAATCCTAGAAGGAGAGGAGAAAGTAGGCAGAGCCGAAACAATGTCTGAAAAAATAATGGCAGAAAACTTTCTAAATTTGGCAAAAACGTAAATGTACAGATTTCAGTAGCTGACTGAACTCCAAACTAAATCCAAGGAAGTCCGTGCTGAGACACATCATAATTAAATTTCTGAAAACTGAGGGCAAAGAAAGTCTAAAGAGCAGCCAGAGAAAAATGGCAACTCATTTAGAGAAGTAAAACAATTAGAATGATAACATATTTTACATCAGAAACAATGATGACCAGAGGAAGTTGCAAAATACTTTTTAGACGCTAGAAGAAAAGAACTGTCAACCCCAAATCCTATAGCCAATGAAGACACCTCCAGGAATAACAAGTGAATATGTCTTTAGATGAAGTAAAAACCAGAATATTTATTGACCTCAGCTGTAGTCTAAAAGAAAGGCTACAGGCAGTTCTGTAAACATGAGGGAAGTAATAGAAGAAACACTGAAACATTAGGGAGGAAGAAAGAACACAATAAGTAAAATTTGACTATCTATAATAGGCTTTCCTTTTCCTCTTGAGTTTTCTAAATCATGTTTTACTGTTGAAACACAAATTGTAACACTGATGTGGTTCTCAGTGTATTTACTGGTAATATTTAAGATAAATATATTATAAATGGGGGAAGGCAAAGGGATGTGAAGGGACGTAAAGTGTCTATATTTCACATGGACTGATAGAATCATAGCACCAGTAGACTGATAAGGCTATGCATAAAAAATGCAATACTTAGAGCAAACACTAAAAAAGTTACGCAAAGGGATATACTAAGAAATGTAGATAAATCAAAACAGAATTCTAAAAAATGACCAAGTCACCCACAGGAAGGCAGAAAAAAAAAAAAAAAACCTCTTGATTTAAAAAAGAATTCTCAAGGGAAAACAAAAAGAACACAGAACTGAATGAAAATCACAATAAAAAATATCAACACTTGTTGGACACAACTAAAGTTGGACTGAGAAGGTAATCTATAGTATTAAATGCATATATTAGAAAAGAAAAAACATTTAAAATCAGTAGTCTA